ATTAGAGAGCAGCATTGTTCTGATTAATATACTGTAAAGCTGCTTTATGGTTGAGTTAGTCATCAAATGCAAAAGAGACACAACACCTCAAATTCTGACAGATGATTTTAAGTATAATGACAACGTAGTGACTCTCTTACTATAATTTGAATAAGTCAGTACCTGGCTTATTGCAGATCTGACGAATATACCTTAATAACAATATTTCAGTCAAATGAAAGATTCTTCATAGCCTGGTTAAGCCTTTTAAAAAAGCCATGTGTTTTTGCACTGGGCCCTGATTCTGTTTTTATTATGCTTGTTCAAAGTACAAAAACGTATGCAAAGGAAAGTGGGCCGAAATTCCTCCCAAAGCTATGTAAAGATTCATTACCAGTTATCACAAACACTTGACTGCAGTTCTTGCTGCCAGGATGCTTCCACCAGTTAATACATTTAGAGGTCAATTGCTTTTTCACATAGGGCCAGCTAGGCTTGAATATTTTTTCCCTTAATGAATGAAATTATAAATTAACAATTGTGTTTTGTATTTACTTATTACACATAAATGTGACAAATATGCAAAAATCCTTTTTCCTGTGATGTGATGATGATAATATGTATGTAAAAGTTTTCAAATTTACTAAAAAGTTGTTAATTATTTGCCTAATGAGATAACATTTTTAGTACAAGCTAGCTTAGGTGAGCCAACCAAATGACCAAAAACGATGAGCAGTGCTATCTTCCTATAGAATTGTGAGAATTTTTTGGATACTGATGAGCTTTTTCACAATATACTGACATTGATAGCTGTCTAACTATTATTAATTAAGTAAAATTATATTTTCTTTCCATTGCTGTTCTTCAGGGTTCCTGACTGGTTACAGGAGAGCTCCTATTCTTGGCATCGACCAGGTCAAGATGAAGGTGCATTTTCAGAGTGGCACCTGTGATCAGCACTTCATTGAGTCAGAGACATGTCACTCTAATCTGTATCTGCCTTTTTACTCAACTAAGGAGATCATGCGAGACAGACTGACAGAGGCCCTGCTAGCAGATACAGATTTCACACTGTGATGGTGGATCGTATGCAGCTCTAAAGGAGCGTGCACTGTGTCTGTGCTGAGGAGGAGGGATGAGATTTATTTTTACTCTGGGAACTCATCTTTTTTTTTCCTGTGGTACCTCAGGATAATTTACACTGTGTGTTACATTAATATTACACTATAGGAAATGCAAAAAATTCAACATCCCCACATAAGACAGCTGTGTAACAGCATCAGCATCATAAGGCACTTTAGAATTATCTGACTTTTCTTAATATGTCATAATTTATCCAATAATTTAAGTTACTGCTGCATTATAATTCTTATGAATCAAATCTCATTTTTATGCTCAGACAAACACGAACAGGAGAATGTATTGCTATATAACTACTATATTGCTATAAACATCTGACTATGTAATACAATCCAATAGAGCACTTCTGTATTATTTATCACTTTATTCTTTGTGTTTTCTTTAATTCTGGTGGGGTTGAATTATTTCCAATAATAAATCTTTAACATATGTAACACTGGTTATTTGTTGGAACAATAAAAATGTGTATTTTACACTAAACATTGCTTACCTGGTAAATCCCTAATTACTGCAGTCTGAGGTTTCCTTAACAAGATTTGAAGAAGCAAGAGTACAGTAGTACAATAGAGTCACAAGTGATGAAAGCTGGGACATATATTTGAAAAAAAAAGTTTTTCATAGTATATGTTAAAAAAGCAAGCATAGTTTCTTCCAGCCAGCCAGATGCTATAGATAATAACAAGTCATCACTTATTATGATCTAATCTAATCTAATAACTCTGGATCAGCCTACAAAGGCAGCTGATCTGTAAAGTCAGCTTACAGAAATATATAACTGCATATCATCTACAAAGAAACAAAGCTTTATTACATAAACTCTTTTGTGGCCAATGTGAAGCATCTAACAGAAAGAGGTCGAATGCATATCCTTGAAGCACACCACAAACTTTCAGGTTTCTACACAATGAATTACCATGGGACAAGTAACCACAGTAAAATATCAGTGGCAGAGATATAAAGCGACCACTCTTTAAACAAAATGGAACAGAACAGTTCATGATTTGACCAAAGCGTGGATGTAAATCACTACTTTTATCTTCCAAACAGGAAGGAGTTTGTGGATGCCTCCAACACATAGTGGAGAATGTGTTTCAGGAGTTCAAGAGAGGCTTCTTCCTGGTGTGTGAGCAGGATTTGGTGAAACTCTTCAGGCCAAAGGAGCTGCAAGAAGTGATGGTGGGCAAAGACTTCAGTGACTGGGAAAAGCTGAAACAGGTAAACAGCTGTTAGTGACACAAGATGTAATTTGTCTGCAATTCTTTTATCACATCCCATTATTGTGAATGAGTTATCTTTGGTATATCTAACAGTCTCTTTCACTATGATTAGAACACACATTATGAAGGTGAATAAAGCGCAGACCACCTCACCATACAGATGTTTTGGGAACGATGAACTAAAAACAAGAAGAAAGCTTTCCTTTGTAAGGACTGTATTTCATGTTAACGTGTAAAACAATAAGTGTGAATCTTATTCTTCAGTATGTCCCAAGAGTCACAACAAAGCAACGAATCACAGGAAGTTAATAAAGTAAAATATTGGGGTTTTATGACCTGAGTTTGATGGAAAAAGCATTTGACCAACAGCTGAGATGGTTGAGCACTAATGCCTGAATTGACAGACTGATTTCAGATGTTGTGCACAAAAATGAACACATAAAAAAAAACTCACAGAGTTTGGCTTTTTTCCTGTTACATGTGTTACATTATATCATTAAAATACATCAAATGCAGTAAGTGTACACATGTTTCATATAAATATACTTTGTAACATTCTTATTTTCTTTAATCTACCTGATTAAACATTTCAGTTACATAAAACATGCAATTTTTTCATTTTATGTACTGTACAGCCTATATAATAAATAAGTATGTATCCAGTAAGTATAAAATCCACAAAGCTACACAACATGGGGTGGTTCATTTCCAAACACAAGTCTAACGTCAGTTTCACACTTTTTTATTATTAGAAATAATTGAATTGTTACATGTTTAAATTTACACAAAATACCAGAAATCTACACTGTCATGAACACTTTTTTCACCAACATCTAAAAAACTATTAAAGATAAAAGGTGGGTGGATGGAATTACCACTATATTAAACAGTTTAAATATAACGTTTGAAAAGCACATGTCAACTGAAAGTGTAATGAAAGAAACAAAACCTTAAATGCATTCTTGGTGGATTTTAATTCACCCAATATGAGCAATCATCGCCAGTACGATTATTTGTGTTATTATGTACTCTGTGTGTTAATGTGTTGTATCATCTTTTTTAGGTTTCCTAGTCATTGTCAGTTATATTAAACACAAAATATAAAAAGTTTGAATCGGCCCTCATCTTCCAAGGTGTAGTGGCACCGTTCCCTCTATGGCTGCTTAAACTCTTAAAATTGTGCATTCATATCAGTGTAGACATGTGAAGAAAATACAGGCAGAACTAAGTAGATCCAGTTTTCATTCAAAAACATTGGTCCTCATTCAGTATGTGTATGGAAACATAATTGTCCTGTGCAAACAAAAAACACGTGCACACACAAAATTACAGAAAACCTGTGCAAACTTTGTTCTGTGCGTTTGTTAATGACTCTGGATCATCCACATACTGTCATGCTTCTACTTATCTTTGCAAATAAGCAAGTTTACCTCAAGGTGAAGTGGAGAAAGTGATGATGGTGTAAGAGAGACGCCTGCATCACTAAAGCAGGAAAACAGGAGGAGATATGACTGAAGAAACAGAAACAATAGCATCACAAGTCAGTGATTCATCTGTATTTTAATAAAATGATTGTTAGAATTACAATTTAAAAAAAAAAAAAGTTCTGGAACTAGCCTTAAGGCTCTTGTGCTTTCCTGCTTGGCACAGCTCTGCAACATTGTGTGCAAGTCTGGTGGTGGAACACAGCACCAGCACTTTATCCTCTGAAGAACAGTGTTGACAAGTTTACCCAACTGGTCAATATATTAACCGCATCTCTTAGGGTTGTTTTGTAGCATGAGGCATCATGTCTGTACTTACAAACTGAGCATTAGTACAGATGCAGTGACAGCTTGTTTCACATTGTTTGAAAGATTCTGTTCATAGAGTTTGAGCAGAACTTCTACGTACGTACAGTGATGTGAAAAACTGTTTCAGATCATTAAACAAATTTAAATATTAGATAATGATAACACAAGTGAACACAAAATGCAGTTTCTAAATCAAAGTGTTTATTACTTATGTCAAGATGCGTGGCAAGAACCGGGACCAAATGCAGGATTTTCCCATCAGAGTCGGTGTGTTTATTTACAGTGAGAAATGTGAACAATCGTGAAACAGAAGGAAAGAAGTGGTTTCCATGAACGTGCTCCTGACTCCCGCTCCATGCTCATGGTCCGTGGTTTGACAGGCAAACAGCTCCTAAACTCTGAAGACAAACATAAAAAAGACAGCTTCTGAAGTCGTTCAAAGGGCTAAGCAACTTTGAACGACTTCAGAAGCTGTCAGAGGAATGAGGACCCAAAATGCAGGACTTGATGAAGGCAGTGCGTTTATTTACAGTGGTGTAAATCCAAGCAACAATAAATACCTTGTGCGATCCCGACTCCTGTTCCGTGTCTTCTCCTTTAACCTGTGCTCCGTGCCCGTTCCCTGTGTACTGTCCGTTTGCTGCTTCCTGGTCTCCACAATTCCTCCTGGGGAAACACAAAGGCAGCCGTGAGTACAACACCTGACGCCAGACTTGCACTAACCTTGCACATAAACCGAGACTGACGGGAAGTCAACGATCCAGCGTCGAGGAGCTCTCAGCCACACTGTTTTGAAGCTCCTCTGATGAAGCTAGATCAGCGCCAGGTGTCATAGTACGGCTGTGTGCCGGCAGGAATTGGACCCAAACGCAAACTCACTGGAGACAGGACGGAACTCAAAATTGCAGCTTTTATTGCTGAACACAAAAAACTACAAAATCTAAACTGGGAAGACTCTAACAAAACACACAGGGAGCTACAGGTAGAAACACACAGCATGAGGGTACGACACAACAGGGAGCACAGGAAAACACAGGGCTTAAATACACAGGGGAGTAATTAAGAAATGAGCAACAGGAGGGAGACACAGCTGGGAGAAATTAGGCTAACGAGACAGGAGAAAGGTAAAACTGAACACATTGATATGAGACATGAACTTTCAGAACAAAACAGGAAACGAACAGACAGAACCAGAACGGACACTGAACTTGGCAGGCAGACTCACGAGCAGACACAGTGACACCATGGACAGACAGAGGGAACACAGGCAGGCATGAAACAAGCACACTAACACATAGCAAACCTAAACAAAAGACAAGGCAGAATAAACAAGTATATAGAAGAATATAAAGAAACACAAAACATCGAGTCCTCAGACTCAGGACCATGACACCAGGTATGTGTGGAGATTCCTGGGTGTGACCGGTAGCTGGCAAGGCCACACTCACCAGAGCTGAAAGTGCCTGCCATGACTGCACCCACACACCTGCCAAAACACAAGCATGGACACAGGACAGCAGAAGCACAGAACACATATAATAATAATAATAATAATAATAATAATAATAATAATAATAATAATAACAACAACAACAAGTCCATACTGCACACGGGTCCGTGACACACACTGATCCCAGAACAGACCGCATGTACAAATCAAGTTCTCTCTTTAGTTCGTTTTCATCCTCCTAGTCCTCCTCATCTCCTTGTAACCCTGTTTTTATTCCTTGGGATGAAAAAGCAAAAAGGGGCCCAAATCTACTCCTGCAGGAACAATCGGTCATTGTTTGTTTTTTAAACTGCTGAGATATGAAGCGATCCTCGCTTGTTTGTCTCTAGTTAGTCTGCAGTTTTTATGTTAACACAAATGCATGAATATTTTACTGACTCATTAACTGACACTGGCACTATCGGCGGTTTAGAGGCGGAGTATGTACACAGATTGAGGAGGATCTAAGTATGACGTGGATGACAGAGGAAATCGGGCGTGGCCCTCCTGTCAAAGTTCATTCCCACTTTGAGTTTTTGTTTCAGAGACGGTTCAGCCTGATGTAAATTCACTGCGAGAAGAAAAATACCCTATAAATCTATTAGCAGCTATGGTTTAGGCAGCAGAGCGTAAACTAACACGTCACTTGGAGAGAACTGTAGAGTTTTCCTTCATGGTTTCAAATGTAAGCTGGCTGATTTGGTTCATTTTTGTTTTTGTTTTAAACTGAGCAAACCTGGTCTTCTCCTGAGGACTGCTGCAGGTATCATGCAAGCATCTTAATTTAATAAAAAACCAACAACAACAAAAAATAATAAAAAATAGAATGAAACTCATTTCAGGAGACAAATAACATGATGTGTCCAGGACCGTCCTCCTCCTCCTCTGCATCCCTGCTCAGGACATGAGCATGTTTCATGTCTGCTCACCTGGGCTTCCAGTGTCAGACGTCTTACACAAGCTCAGCTCGTAGATCCCAGTCACTCGGTTGCTATAATGAAGCAGAAGTTATGAACAAGGAAACTTTGTAACAGGGCAGATATCTTTGATTGTGAAACAGAGATGGCCACAGTACAGCAGCCCAGATTTACCAGTCAGGAGTTTTGGACTATCCAGTCCCAAAGAGGTTCTTGAGAAAACGGGGTGGGGAAATCTTGGCGTCTCGGGAGTAAAAGACCGTGCAGAGGTCTTTGGTGATAATGGCAGGCTGGATGCAATGGTCCAACTGCAGAGAGGAGATAAAGGGTGTGTGTTAGACACGATGACATCAAGAGACTTAAAAACACGTACAAACAGGTACAACATGGCGGAGCAGCAGCTGACCTCCAGATACGCAGATAAGGTCATGTAGATCTTCTCTCCATAGGGAGTGACGCAGTTGAGCAGGAGGGAGTTGTGCAGGGAGCTGTCCCACACTGCCTCAAGGTCCTGAAAAAGACAGAAAGAGCAAAAGTTAGCTTGACAGCATTATTTTTTATGAAGTCCTACTTGGTGCTAACATTACAGGGTCTCTGTTTACAGCAGTGTGTCATGTTGTTAAAAAAAGTGAGTGACGTGAGCACAGTTCTGACATATCAGGAAGTGAACACAGTGACTGAAGCGGTGTTCACATTCATCCTTTAATCATGACAAAACGTGAGGAATCGCACTGAGGTGAGACCTTGACAACAGACAAATCAGAACGTAGATTTTTCCTTCATGGTTTCAAATGTAAGCTGGCTGATTTGGTTCATTTTTGTTTAAACTGAGCAAACCTGGTCTTCTCCTGAGGACTGCTGCAGGTATCATGCAGCATGTTAATTTATTAAAAAACCAACAGCAAAAACCCCCAAAATAGAATGAAACTCATTTCAGGAGACAAATAACACTGATAGAGACATTTTTTTGTACAGATGATTGGCAAACGGAAAGTTTCTAAAGAGTCGTGCACACACAAGTAGACTACTACAACATGCTACTTAGTTAGGCGAGTTTGGGAATGACAACCAAGCGGAACAAGATTAGACCCAAACATTGTCATCGAAACGAAAACACAGAAAGCTGAGGGGAGGGAATAGAGAGGAGGAAAGCTGAGCTGGCAGCGGGGTTGCTGGAGGAAGGCTGCGCCGCCTCGCCAGCTTAGATCTGCAGGGAGATTTTTACGTTGTGAGGAGAAGGGAATGTTTTTGAAGGGTGCAGAAGCTGCACGTTTGACTGTGGTGTGAGAGGAGCGTGTGTGTCTGTGTGTGTGTACCTTATCGTTCCTGCTAGCAGAGGATTAAAAGCGTACAGCCAGTCGTTCATGTCGTTCTCGTTGGTGGCCTGCAGGAGGATGCCTCCATGTTTTGTGCACACTGCAAATGTGTTGGGCGTCTGAAAAGAAAACATCACATTATATTCATGTTCATTCAAATGATAAATCCCAGTCCATTTGCCATTTCATCAATCAACGTGCACCAAAACAATTTGAATGAATTCTCATTAAAGACAAACGTGTTACATCCAGCCTTTCTCTATCCTGCCTCAAACCTTAAGCATGGCCTGCTGGTCTTCGCTGTATTCCACCTGTGCTGTGGAGAGGTTGAGGACGCCTCGCTCCACGGGGTCCTGGTCGCTGTTGTAGATGAAGTCGTAGGGCCGGCGAACAACCACAAAATGCTTCCCCCATGAGTTAGAGCGAGGCTCCACGAAGCTTAGAAAACCCTTCTTGGACACAACAGATCTGAAAAGAAGAGATTTTATTCATTTATTTATTTTTTAAGAGAGCGCTTGTTTGAGCAAATGACTATAACCAAGTACATCCTGTGATTCAGCAGCTGATA